TTTCCCTCTGTTCTAGGACTGCTCTTCCCAAGCTCTCTTACCCTGAGCAATGTTTGTAAATGTTTAAATGTTCAGGGACACACCTGGACGGGCAGCCCTCCCCACTCCTACAGAATAAAACTGGCAATATGTGTATGTAGGGCATACTGTTGAATGTTAGGCTGAGGGCACCCCAAGTTCAGGTCAGAGACAAGGGACAGAGAACAGAAGCCTATTTGAAATCAAGCTTCTGCTCCCTGGGGAATCACATGGAGCCTAGCAACACCAAACAAAGGGCTATAGACAAAGCAACTGAGGATTCTGGACCGTAAACCATTTTTCTATCTCTAGGCTGTATACATTCACACATGTCACCATCCTACATTAGCATCGTCTCCCAGGCCAGATGTTATGCTCCTAACTAGGCGAATTGTAAATCCTGCGATTTTTGGTTTCAGGAGGATCTGAGTTGACACAATAAGTTTGTTATCAGATCATTTGGTCTCTGTTAGAGAAAAGATCCAAAAAGACTGGAGATGCTGTTCATCAACCAGAGGAGTCTGACCTGCAGGAAAGAGGCTGAGACAAAGCCCGAGGTCAAGCAGTCAGAGCTCTGCGGGGAGACAAGAACCCGGCCAGGTAGGACAAGTCTTACTAATGATACTTCGCTAACCCACTTAGATTGAACCAACACCCTAGCGTGCACTCAGGTGAAGCCCGCGAGAAGAAGGGAGTGAAGGGGTGTTGGAACATTGCTCAAAACCCCTCCACCACCCACACTGTAACCCATCTAGCAGCCTGAGCAGCTCACGGGATTTCTAAGGGAAATGCAGGAGCTGGGAGATGGACTATCGAAAAGATTATGTCTGCCTATGGTCATGGAGAAGGGAAAGAGGGAAAAAGAGAAACAGCGGGGAAAGCCACCGACCTCTGGGGCCGACAGAAGACTTTGAGCAGAGTTTTCATTCATGGAAATGGAAAAACATATCGATCCTTGGGAGAGAGGGGAAATGAAAAGGGGACCAGCAAGCAGTCTGCACAGGGAGGATAACGGGAGCTGGAATTTCTCGTCTCAACACCACTCATCCAGTCTTCTCACTTGTTAGCACGATCCATTGTGCCAGCTGAGAAATACTTTTCTAGTCTCTGCTCTACACTGCGCGGTGATGAACCCAGTGGTTTTTGAGAGACCTGAAGTACGGAGATTACAGTAATGCCACCTGGGTACCAGTGTTGCAGTCATCAAAAAGTGGACAACGGGCAACTCTCCTGAACTGTCGTACATCCAGGATCGACCCGTTCTACATCCTATTTTGACGATGCAATGCTCTAAGTCAAGATCGCCAGCTGAAGTAAGGAGGCGTTTCACAAACACAGTGCCTCGTTTTCCCCTTTGCACAGAAGACCAAAACAAACAAACAAACGCTGAATGGAAATGGAGCACCCCCTGGCCTCTTCTAGCAGTGGAGTCACATAGCCTAACAGCTAGGGAGTTGCCAAGATCCATAAAGACTGGATGACAGACACGCAAGAGGCCAAGTAGGTGCCCCTGGAAATGGCCATTCAAGACACATTCTGGGCCTCAGCCCTGCCCTCACATCCTGTTTAGGGCTCTGTACCCTGGCTGGGAAAGAGAGAATCTGAGTGCTAAGAGACAGAGTGCAAAGAGGACATTCTCTCCTCTTCACCAAGCCAATGAGGTTTGCTGAGTGGTAAAGACCTACTCCTTCTGCAGTTTTCTTCTCAACTGTCATGGCGTCAGCAGGTTTTATGGGAGGAGGGATGAGGGAACAGACGGGCGCACTACCCAGAGCAATTTTTGGATGCAATTATGAGACTCCAGTGGCTTTAGGATCTGCAAGTTGGAGCAAGTTGCCCTGCACTTAGAGGAGGGATTAACTAAACCAATTTCATCTAAATCAATTTGCACTGTTCAGATGATATATTCATGAAGCAACCCAGTCACCCTGATTTGTGGCAGTGCTTCCCAAGGGTGGCCTTGCAAGGTAGAACATGCTAGATGACAAGTCTAGTGGTCATGAAAGAGGGAGGGAAACAATCGCCCCCTTCATGTCCCTAGCCTCTCCCCCGCCTTGCTCCTCCCTGTCCTACTCCTGGAACTGCAAGTAAGGAAGCAGGCCTCAAATAAGCAGAAAGGGCCAAAGTTCTAGGCCAAGACTGGGGCCTCAGCCCATACAGCAGGGAACTCTGCACATTGTAGGTGCTTAATAAATATTGTTGACTCACGTTGCAAGATGCTAACCATGCTTATATTGCCATGCCTAAAATTATTTATGCTGCTTTTCAGTAGAAATTAACTAACTGCCCCCATATAGGCTAAAAATGGGTGAGGTTATGTTTTCAAATGAGTCTGACTCAGACTGTTAGGTTAGAGTACATTAGATATGATTCGAGTCTCAACTTAAAATAATCACCATTACTCTGCATGCCTAGTTTTATGCATGTTTTCATTCAGTTGTACAGGCATTAGGAGCACCGACAACAAAAAAGGAATCCTGAGTACGGTGACAGATTTGGCTCCTGGTGGGGGGGGGGGGCTAATAATAGAAAGTTAAGTTTTCCAGTAAACTAGGGTTCCTCCTGACATCCAGTCAATCTATTATCCCAATAAAAGGTAAATGAAGTACTTTATTTGAAAAGCATAATGCTGAGGGTTTATAGAACCCTTTCATCTTCAAAGGACCAAGCTGAGACTCACAATACCCAGCACACAGTATTATGCCTTTTACACAAGTGCATCAACTATGAAAGAAAGGTCATAGGGATGTCCTAAGGCCATAAAGCCAATGTAACATCAGATTTGGGATAAACTCTCTTATCGTCCTCACTCCTAGACCTGTATTTCAACCACATAAATCAAGTTGTGAGGAACAATCAGGAAAAATCTAATTCACATTATATATCTGTATTAAGTTAATTGATTGGGAAGGAATATATAAAAATAGCCAAGACTGTCTCCCCCTTAGGGCAATTTGTATGAGTGGAAAGGGGTGAAATGGGGGACCTGAGGGTTGGGGTAATCAGCTGGGGTTAAGCCAGAAGGAGGGGAGGGAAGCTCCCTATTCCGCATTCCCCTTCTATTGGAACATGGCCAGAGAAGTGATTAGAGTACTGGGAGGGAACAGAATAGGGTTAAAGGCAGTCCTTTATGGCCCAACTCCAGAACCCAAGGAATCAACCCACACACATTACTTGTCTATTTACACAGTCTCCATATATTCCTGTATAGGGCTCCTCCTCACCGACACACAACCATCACTATCCACTAGCCCCACACTCAGAAATCGTCAAAAAGGCAAACGGATTGAGAAGCAAGAGGCTGCAGGGCTGGGCGGCAGGCAGAGTGCACAGGTTGGTGCGGGGCAGTACGGGGGACAGATGGGTTCTGGTGGGACATCTGGGTGGGCAGGTAGGTGTGTGACGACTCAGGAAGAAGGCAAGTGAGCTGAGCGCGAAGGCGGATAGGGGAGTGTGCAAGAGAGAAAGTGAAGAAACTAAGGACACCAGGATCCCAATTTCCTGCTCTGCGAAACCAAAACACACACACCACCACCACCACCACCACCACCACCACCACCACAACAACAACAACAGCGCCTCTAAGAAATAACGCCCTACAAAGTACTAAGTAACCTAAACCTTATCGTCGCTAAAAATATTTCTGTAAATCCACTCCGCCGTTATTTACTTAATTCTTACGAGCCAGGAATGGAAAAACCCCACCTCTGCCCTGTTCAGTCGCAGTCTGTCCTCCGGACATATGTAAGTTTTGCCTCTCCCCCACCGGGCTGCTTTCACAGCTAGGCCAGAAATAAGGAACCACCCAGACCGAGACTGGAGGACCGATTCCCTGGCAGAAAAGGGATTAAGTTTCTCCGGGCCTCCCCGCCGGCAGGGTGTCCGCAGCATCTCCCGGCTGCGGCAGCGGCCGCCGCGGGGCGTAGGGCCGGCCGAGGGGCACCGCCCGGGCCGCGGAGGCTGCGGGCCGCCGGAGCGTGGGAAGGCGGCGGTGCCCTTTCCCAGACTCGCACCCCGGCGCCGGGGGAGCGGCCCCACTGCCCTGCGCCGGGCCGGTCGGGGCGCTGGAGGCCTCCGGCCGCCCCCGCCCCGCACCCGGAGTGCAAACTCTGTCCCAGGAGGGCAGCGACGGGCGCCCGGGCCAGGCCGGGGATGGCCCCCGCGGCCCCCGCCCCGCCGCCGCCGCCGCCGCCACCTGGAGCCTCGCGGGCCCCGTCACCCCGCCCCTCCGAGCCCCGGAGCCCTTGGCCCGCGCCGGGCCCCGGCGGCACCTGAGAGGCGGCCAGAGCCGAAGCCGGAGCCCGGGCCGTGCCTCACGCGGGCAGCGGTGCTCTGCTCCCGCGGCCGCGGCGAGGGGGCGCGTTTTACCCATAGCGTTCTGGGGTGCCAGCCATCTCCTCGGCGCGCCCGAGGGCGCCGGGCGCTCGCCTGCCTCCGCCGGGAGCTGGCTCGGGCTCCGGCGCCAGCTCCTGGGGCCGCCGCGCCGCCGCCGCTGCTGCTCTAGGCCGCCGCCCGCCTTCGCCGCCGCCGCCGCCGCCGCGCAGCAGCCGGGATCCGCCCGCCCGCGCGCCCCGCCAGGGACAGCACGGCGGCTGCGACGCTACCGCAGCTGGGTCTCCCGAGCCAAACTTAAGAGTTTTCGCCCTTTAGTCCAGGGGCAGCACCATGACACCGCGGCAGCACCACACTGTCATTTCCGCCGCCGCAGAGGAAAAAAAAAAGGCGATCCCTACGAAAAGGGGGGTGGGGGGCAAACAGGGCTGGAGCTGGCGCCCCGAGGGACCACTGGGAAGGGTCCCCGGCAACAGGGGCGCTCGGCCACCTTCCCGGGCTCACCTTCCGCCGCCCCCGCGGCTCCCAGCTCCCCCAGCCCCTCCCGCGGAGGCGCGTTTACATGTTTTCTCCCTTGGCTGGAGTGACCGGAGAAACCTGAGCAAGCAAAGGCAGCGGGTGGGTGGGGTTCGGGTTACTACTGTACCTACCAGCTGATTCCAGCAGCCTTTTCTCCAGCGCCCTGTCATCTTGAAGGAAGACACGCCGAGAGGGGCCCGAGCGGGCGTGTGTGTGTGTGTGTGTGTGTGCGCGCAAAAGAGAGAGCGAGAGAGAGAGAGAGAGAGCGAGCGCAGAATGTGTGTGAAATGCTGAAGGAAGACTATGGCCAAACTCTTCTCCCACCCACCAGCCCCCTGGTCCCACAAGCCACCAGGTTAGAACAAGAAAAAGACCGTTGCAACCGGCAACGAGAAGAGAGTGCCTGGGTCCACCGCACTGGTCTTCAGATGAAGCTTCTTTAATGCAAAGTTAACTACAGAGTAAAACAAAAATAGTGGAGGAGACAGAAAAGGGCAGACAATTGAAGGAAACCCAACCCCTCTTTCTTTTTACAAAGGGAGAATGCCTGTGCTTTATTGGTCTTGGGCAGAAGTTGTGGGGATGGATTAAAGCCACCAACATTTTAAAAACAAAACAAAACAAAACAAAACGAAACACAAAAAGTAGTGTTTCGTTTGCATATTCAAATCCTTGATAGGCAAAACAAGAGGGTGCTTAAAGAGGACAATGGGGCAGAGGCCAGCTATCCAGGTATGATGTCCCTAATAAGCTAATTGGTCCATCAGGAATCCAGAAGCCTCATTGGTCTGGAGTCAGCCTGTCAGCTGACCTGTCATTGGCTCAGAGACCACCACCCCACTCACAAAGAGGATGGGAGAGGAAAGAAGGACGATGCCCTCGAGGAGATTCTGCACCTAACATGGGATAAAAGGGGAGATGAAGGGGGAAAACGAGAGAAAATGAAGGAAACACCTCCCCCCACCACCACACACACACATAAGCCTCCCATTACTGTGCATGGGAAGGAGTCCAAAAAAATTAAGGTAGCTCTGGGAGTATCCCATCAGGGAACCAATAGTAATTAGACAACACCCCTGTTAAACAATGTGCTAGAGAGCACTGAGGTGGAAACGAAGACAAAAATCACAACCAGGCTATCCTGATGAAAATCTGACCCTAAAAGAAATAAAAGTTAATGAGTCACACGAAAACACAGGCAAATGAAAGCAGAAATAGACAAGTAGGACTACATCAGACTTAAAAATTTCTGCATGGCAGAAGAATTAACCATGAAAAGATGCAAATGGGGAGAAACTGTTGGCAAACCATATGTCTGATAAGGGGTTAGTATCCAAAATATATAAAGAGCTCCCACAACCCAATAACAAAACAAATAACCCAACTAAAAAACAGGCAAAGGACTTGAATAGACATTTCTTCCAAGGAGATAGACAAATGGCCAAGCATTTGAAAAGATGCGAAATATCACTAATCATCAGCAAATTGCCAATCAGAACCACAATGAGGTATCACCTCACACCAGTTAGGGTGGCTATTATTTTAAAAACAACCCAACAAATAGAAAGTAAAAAGTGTTGGCGAGGATCTAGAGAAACTGGAGCCCTTGTACACTGTTGCTGGGAGTGTGAAATGGTACAACTGCTCCGGAAAACAGTATGGAAGTTCCTCAAAAAATTAAAAATAGACCTACCATATGATCCAGCAATCCCTCTTCTGGAACTATAGCCAAAAGAGTTGAAAGCAAAATCTCATAGACAGATTTGCACCCTCACCTTCATTGCAGCACTACTAACACGAGACACAAGGTCAGAGCAACCTACATGCCCAGGGGCAGATTAAAGGATAAAGAAAATGCGGCATATACATCCAGTACAACGAGGCATGTACATGTCAGCCTTGGAAAAGGAAGGAAATCTTGGCATATTCTAGGACATGGATGAACCTCGAGGATCATATGCCGAGTGAAACAAGCCAGTCACAGGAGGACAAATACTGCATGATTCCACTTATAGGAGGTATCTAAAATAGTCGAACTCATAGACACAGAAAGTTGAATGGTGGGTGCAGTGGGGAGGTGTTGTTCTATGGATGTGGAGTTTCCGTCATGTAGGACTGGGGTGTATGTGTGGTGGGGCGGGATGGGGGTAGATTTCCGGGGAATCCATTGCACAACAATGTGCACGTGGCTGACAGTATTGCACTGTACACTAAGAAACAGTGGAGAGGGTGAATTTTATGTCATGTGGTTTTTTGCCACAAGAAAAAAATTAATTTTTCAAAAGCTGAGTCAGAAGGAAACTGATCTTAGCATAACAGAGAAGTGAATAAAAGACAAATTATATATGTGTCTTATACCTATCTCTTTCAAGGGTTGTTAAATGAAAACAGCAAGTGGTGTATGGTTTGCTACAACTGTGAAAAGCTGATTACATTAGTTGCCTGAGGGTCAAGCATAGGAGGAAGTATTTAACATCGTATACACCCTTCTGTACTGCTTGCATTTTTTATAATGTCCCTGTATTACATTTCAAAAACAATTTTAAAAGAACAAGGAGCATAGAGACAGAAAATAGAACAGAGGATACCAGGGACTGAAGGGAGGGGAGAATAAGGGGTTAACTGTTCAGTGGCTACAGAGTTTCTGTTTGGAATGATGACAAAGTGCTAGAACTAGATAGTGGTGGGACTTACGCAACCTTGTGAATATACTGATTGCCACTCAAAAATGGTTAGAATGGCAAATTTGATGTGATGTCTATTTTACCATAATAAAATTTCTTTTTAAATTAAAAGAACAAGGACATATACAGAACAGGTAGAGATCGTTGTATTTGTGTAAGAAAAGAAATAAACAGTTGACCTTGAACCATGTGGGTCCCCTTATGCACAGATATTTTTTATGGTACAGTACTGTAACATATTTTCCTCATGATTTCCTTAATTACATTTTCTTTTCTCTAGCTTACTCTAAGAATACAGCTATATTGTCAGAGTGCCTGGGTGGCTCAGTTGGTTGAGCCTAAGGCTCTTGATTTCTGCTTGGGTCATGATCTCAGCATCATGAGATCGAGCCCCATGACTGGGCTCTGTGCTCAGTGGGGAGTCTGCTTGAGATTCTTTCCCTTTCCCTCTGCTCCTCCCACCTCCACTAGTGCTCTTATCTCTCAAATAAATACTCTTTAAGAAATCCAGCTTTATTGTACCCCTGAAACTAATATAACACTGTTTGTTAACTATACTGGAATTAAAAGAAAAACTTAATAAAAATGTAGAACAAAAACAAGAATATGATATATAATGCATATAACATACGAAATACATGTTAATCAACTGTGTTATCAGTAAGACTTCTGGTCAATGGTAGGCTATTAGTTACATTTTTGGGGAGTCAGAATTTATACATGGATTTTCAAGTGCACAGGGGTCTGGACCTCTAACCTCTGTGTTGTTCAACCATTGACCTATGTAAATGCACAGAAAAGAATGTGGGAGCACATCAAAAAATAGTGGGAGCCTGGAATTATGGTGGGTATTGAGAGGATTTTTTGGGTTTGAGTCTATATATTTTATAATTGTTTGAATATACTGCAGTGAGAATTTCTTTTGTAGTTAAACATTGTTTTAAGTTATGTCTCAAAAAAAACAAAAAAACCAAGTTGAGTCAGAAGTCAATTGATCCCTTAGAATTCTTTAACCTCACTGGATATGATCTCTGCAGAGAGCTGGAGAATTTTCTAAAACATGAAGAAGTGACCACTTTGGTCACAGACACCCGATCCAAGCTCGCTAGCTCTTGGCCGTACAGTCCTTTAGAGGACATTTGCTTTTAAAGGCCTTTACCATCCTTCAGAAAACACCCTCTCCTTCACTTTTTAGCAGTCTCCCCTCCACCTGAGTTTTTATTTTTTTTTTTTTTTTTTTTTTTAAGATTTTATTTATTTATTTGTTAGAGAGAGAGAGAGCATGAGCACAGGCAGACAGAGTGGTAGGCAGAGGCAGAGGGAGAAGCAGGCTCCCCGCTGAGCAAGGAGCCCGATGTGGGACTCGATCCCAGGACGCTGGGATCATGACCTGAGCCGAAGGCAGCCGCTTAACCAACTGAGCCACCCAGGCGTCCCTCCACCTGAGTTTTTAAAAAAGATTTTATTTATCAGAGAGAGAGAGAGGCAGGCAGAGGCAGAAGCAGACTCCCCACTGAGCAGGGAGACTCCATCCTAGAACTCTGGGATCATGACCTGAGCCGAAGGCAGACACTCAACCAACTGAGCCATCCAGGCATCCCTATCCTCCACCTGAGTTTCCAGTGCTTTCAAGCTCGTCCCTGGCCAGAGTCCCGTGCAGAGTGCTGGAACCCCACCTTCCCTCCCCAGATACCAGCCCATATTCAGGACCTTTTCTTTCCCTCAACAAAACTTAAAACCGCTTCTGGGTCCGTTTCACAAAAGACCTTACTAATTAAGGATTTCTGTCAACTAATTTGAGCAAAATGTTAATAGCTCCATTTGTCTCTTTATTAGTAGATAATGTTTTAATTTTAACAAAGGCCTTCAATGTATTAACTCAAAGGAATGACTAATAGTGTGTGTGGGTGGGGATTGGGGGGTGGGGGAGATTTTGCTGATCACATCACATAAGCAGCGGCTTTGAAAATATCCTCATGTTCAGTGGTTTTATGCAAATTATCGCTGTAAATGTATGAAAGTAAATGTTTCGTATCTGGCAAGAGATGCAAAATGGACTGGGAGTATGTGATGAAATTATTTGTTTATAATTAGTTAATGGTTACTTTTGTATAGAACATGTGTTGATCCTATTATTAAAATAAAATCAGATCCATGGGGGAAAAAAGATGTTTGACACATTCTGCTTGAGGTGTTGAATTGAATTAATCTGAAGCCGACTCACCACACCACCGTCCTAGAGCATGAAAGGGACATCTCATGGGCTTTTTTTTTCCAGCTAAGAATTGGAGAGGAGGAGAGGGGGAATGACTCCAGATACTTTCTACAGAGAGAAGCACAGAGCCCCGTCTGTTTCAGAAGGAAAAAATCACAGAAGGGAGATTTTGTTGCAGAAGAGAATTGTCGCTTCTGCAGAAGGGAACCTTCATACTGCTCTCAAAAGAAACAGCTAGTTGTCTGAAATCCAGAGGTTTGCCAAAGGCTTTTCTAACCAGGGGGCTCTTAACAGGATGGTGA